AATCCACGCCCAGCATGAAAATATGACCTCCCGGCGAAACAGGAAGAGGTTGTAAGACCACCGGTTCCAAACAAATCGGTCGATGCGTGCAACATGCCCTTTCCAGACAAGACCAGCGAGTAAAGCCCGCGTATCTTTTTTACATGCCGAATCCAGGAGCGCCCTGCTTCTGGGCCGCCTCGCCCTGCATCTTCTCACTGACCTTGATGTTGACTTCGAAGAACTTGGAGACGCAGCGGTCGAGGCAGACAGACTCGCCCTTGTTCAGGTCGCCTTCGCGGTAGTCGTTGGGAATGCACTTCTTCTGGCAGGACTCGGTGAGACTGAGATTGAATATGGCGTTAGACTGGTTATAAAATGCGGGATGAGAGTAAGGCCACGGTACTGTCGTGGGCAGTGGTATAGCTAAGGAAGAGACTGATGCGTCTTACCGGTTGAACATATCGGAGACCATCTCGACTTCTGTCTCTGCGGCAGCGATCTTCTCTGCCGAGGACATCTTGGGGGGACCACCGAAGAGGAAAGACATGGTGATGGAATTTTATGGAAGAAGATTGACCGAGTTATGTGATCGGATATCTGTGAAGCGGTTAGCAATCGTCAATAACGTCTGGATCAGAAAGCGAGCTATTGTACTGACTATGTAGGACGTGGAGTCTGGTGATGAATGGTAGCTCAAATTGATTCTGATGAGATATGTATGATATTGCGGCCCGGACGGAGTTGCTGCTATGAGGCCGGGAGCTAGGACCGTTTTTTCCCACCGCCTTCCATAAATTCATGACCTTCTCAGTGACCACAATTTTCTTCTCTTCTCTTTCCCATCCTTACCGTGATGTGACTGTAGTTTTTCTCTTTAATATGCACTCAATTCGCCCCCGGTGGGCTTCACAATTCTGCTCCAAGAGTTCCCGATTTAGGTAAGAAGCTTATTTTCTTTCTTTCTTGACTATTTCCCCATCAATTGAATGATGAGACAAACATTCCTTTCCAGAACCGCTGCAGATGATGCTTGTTTCAAGCACTTGATCGCACCGGAGTCATTTCTTTTACCTGATTCAATGCCCATTCATATATTTTCTTCCGAGAAGAGCATTGTATTGCTTGAGTTGGTTGGCTAATACGAGCAATTTATCAGTGCAGGATCGCCGTTTACTTCCAGTAACCATCGTACTTCTCGCATAGCAGATAGTTTACTTGGAACAATCAAACCGGTCTCATCTTCATCTATACGTACAAGGCATAGCAGCAGCGCAGCCTCCCCCGATAAAGCATTCAGACTCCGGCTTGAGGAGGTCAAAAATGCCTGTTCTGACCCATATCCCCGTCTCCCAAGTGACAATCGGTCGCTGAGCTGTGCGGCATTTCGTGATCGATATAGCCACCTTGCCAGCAACCAAACAGTAGAAGATGACACTGTCGTTGTCAATGGTAGGTTGCCGCTGTTCTGGCCCTACTCGGTTGTCCTCTGTACTTAGATTTGTAGGAAGAATTCGTGCCTATAGACTGGCCGGGAGCAAATTGATATTCTTCGATATCTTCCAGGATGGGTACAAGGTCCAGGTCATGTGCAACATTCGCAAGCTGGACGGAGTAGCCCCCGATTCGTTCAAGAGATTCTACCGCCTCCTTCGCCGCGGCGATGCTTTCTGTATGTTGTGCCATATAGCCATCCCCAGCATGACTACCCGAGACTGAACGATCTTCCATAGCCGTAACAGGTAAACCTCACCGCACAGGAACCGGAGAGCTCACTCTTCTTGCAACTGAGCTTCCTCGGCTGCTGTCGCCTTGCCTGCACGATGTCCCCGTCGACGCCGAGGAGCATGAGACATCTCCGTATCCACGCCATGTCCAGTTCCTTGCCGACCGGAAGGCGGCCGATATTATCCGAGCGCGATCAGCTATCATCCAGTTTCTGCGACAGTTCTTTCTCGACAGATCGTTTATGGAAGTCAGCACTCCTATCATTGGCTCGATAGCTGGCGGAGCGATAGCCCGCCCGTTTCAAACTTCTGCTACCGAATTTCCCGACAGGCAGCTGTCTCTGAGAATCGCGCCAGAGCTATGGCTGAAGCGCTTAGTCGTCGGTGGGTTCGACAAAGTGTTCGAGATTGGCCCATCATTTCGGAACGAAGGTAAGTCAAGGTCCATGCTTGATCGTAGTTCGAAGTCTTGAGATGACTGACTGACATGCTGGGACAGGCCTGGACAAAACTCATAATCCCGAATTCACAACATGTGAATTCTACCATGCATACGCCAACCTGGAAGATCTGATGTCCATTACAGAGAACCTCCTATCAGGCATGGCGGCACATATTCAAGAGTTCAACAAGAACGCTAGTCTGAAACCACCAGAAGTCGACTTCTCGGCTCCCTTCCGTCGAGTAGATTTTACCACCGGCATTGAAGACAAGATCGGTCGTAAACTCCCCGACCTCACCACGCCAGATGCCCTAGACCAAATCAATCAGCTGTTCAGAGATCTTTCCCTTCCTATTCCCAAGGATCCCACTCTGCCCCGTCTTCTGGACGAGCTCTGCAGCACCTACCTTGAACCCGATTGCATCAACCCGACCTTTATCATCAACCCTCCCGAGTGTCTCTCCCCACTGTCAAAGTCCTTCATCCACCCCTCCAATAAGCAGCGTGTCGCGGCGCGCGCGGAGCTCTTCATCGACGGACGGGAGATCGTTAATACCTACGAAGAGGAGAACTCTCCATTTGAGCAAAGACGGAAATTCGAGGATCAAGTCCGCTACAATAAAGGCACCGATGAGCCCGCGGAGATTGATGAGAGCTACCTTGAAGCGTTGGAGTGGGGGCTCCCTTCTACCGGTGGCTGGGGCTGCGGCATTGATCGCCTCTGCATGCTCTTCACGGGCGCTAAGAGGATCGGGGATGTCCTTCCTTTTGGGAATCTCCGCACCGTAACCCGTCGCCATGATGGTCTGTCGAGGGCTACCGATTGAGGGACTTGATAATGGCTGTATGATATTTCTCTGCTTAGATACCTGTACCATATTACGACTGCAGAACCTCCAACTCTTTAACTTCTATCTTCTGTATAAGAAGTTTTAAGATCCGCGCATTGACATCAAAGATACCAAAATTTGCTGCATCGCGGATATTAGGGCTGAGAGACTGGTCCATGATACCCACTGTCACTGCATCACAAGTAGAGGACCAGCAAAAGAATCACCAAGGGCAACAGCCACAGTATTCTACCTCATTAAAAATCGCGTCATATATAGGGCCGTTGATATGCTCACCCACTTAGATACAATAAACTTTATCGCCCACGGGATAGTACAGCGATCAATTGGGAAATTGTTCCTGTCGCGAAGGAGATGATAGCATGGGATGCAATTACTGTAGATGGCCCCAGTAAGTACATCAGGTTCGGACACGGTTGCCGGAGCCCCAGAATGTATTCGTGCGTGTTGTTCAGCGTCAGCCGGGTCATCCCATATTCGAAATTGGTTCAGCATGTTTCGGAAGTACCGCCAGCGTTGTGGCGAATGTAAAAATCCCCTGACAATGGCATCGGCCATCAAATAGTGCGCCTGCTGCAGCCAGCGGCATTCATATTGCGGGTCCCCTCTGTCGTCCGCCACTACAAGTCACTGAAACCTCGGCCTCCCCGCTCCATGCTCTTCGCGATCGCGGCAGCCATGGTGTCTGCCTCGTCATCCGCTCGCTGTAGTAATCGTCAAGCAGGGGGCTAAACGAAAGGTGGCAGAGGAGGCGCACCACGCGCCAGTCGAGGTGCGCCTGGCTGTCACCGCCAGGGGCACCAGCAGAAACTAGAGACATTACGTCCTTGGAAGTCTTCTTTCTCAGGAAAGAAGAGCATTGTTGGCTATCGGCCGACGATTTTGCAGGTATAGGCTGCCCGATTTTAGTGAGCTTTGGAACCTTCTTCCTGAGGAGTGGCCAACTTGCGGGTTAGAAGCTGGTCGATATCTGCGGGAGCTATTTCGTGTTCACGAGATGGGACTTTAACGGTAAGGGTTTAGATGTCCGGAAAGTAGGTGAGCCGGACAGCACTCCCACGCTCGTGACGGTTGGCCTCAATGAGATCAAAGTCTCTCCTGGCCACATGCTTCAACGAGATATATTGGCTGACCTGCGGAGAGCTTAGTAGAATGCTGGTTTAGACTCTTGAGAGCTTCCTGCACGACCAGGGGAGCCCCAGTGATACGGACTAGCGCATCATCACTGTACTTGGACATAACCACCTTGAACCGCCTCAGGTACCCTTTTCGCTCGATCTCCTCTTGTCGGATAGTTGATTGACTCCCACTTCTCAATAGTGATCGCGTTCTTTCTTAATTACCGAGGGTTCTAGATCGTTGTCGAAGCGCACGCATAAGGGGCTCGTGAGACTGCCCGTAATTGACAGGCGATAAAAGGTAGAATGCTGTCAGAAGCTCGTCCTTGGATGAAATCGGCTCCTGGTCAATCTGAAGGCCAGCCTGTTGTTGAATCCATTCAACGAGTGAATCCGGGATCTCATGCCATTCTGAAATATTGTCCCAATCAGACGGAAGCTCTGACAGAAGCTGAAGCTGAGTTGTATTGCGAATATTAGTGCTACCTACATGGACTTGTCCGGCAGCCTCGAGTTAACCTGACTCGAGGCTATGGCGAGATCGCCGATGTTCCTGTTTAGATATTAGTGGTGGAACGGCTACGAGGTCTCGGTAGAGCACATACTTCTTGTATGGTGTCCTCTTATCAGTTGTGTTAAGGATTGTTGTGTGAGCGCCCCCACCATTCCAGCGTCTCCTTGTCCCAGGGTCGAGTCAGGAGAATTGTGACGGCCTTCGGAGGGGCAATTGGCCGAGTCCACTACACGCATGCCAGTCGATACGCGATTCTGGCTCTTCAACATTGAAGTTCACCTTCATCGCGTCACCAGGCTTAGGTCGAGGCAGAACTCATCGGGGAGTTCAAGGAATCCAATATACTGACGTGAGCCCGCCCGTGGTATCTCAATCACTTTCAGGGTTGCGAGAGTCCGCAAGGGACTTCATCAGCCCCGCCACGTACTCGTGCTCGTAGATCAGCCCGTGGCCAAGGAGAGTCACGTACTCCTCCCAGCTGATAAAGCTCGGCTTCGTCGAGGTTACGACTGGACGATTTTCTTGATTGGGGTAGTCTCCAATCTGGAGAAAGACTTTGTTCGGGTGCCCCGGATACCAAGCGTCCTTTGTCATCTGTGTCGAAGTCCTTCCGGGAGAGCTTTCTAGGAAACGAACTATTTTCAGGCGAGTATGGTTCGTAAAGGCCAAGGGCCAAGGGTCACTGTATCTTTGCTGCTATCATTGGGAGAGCATCGGTTACGTCTGCTGTGCTGCCATATTTTGTGATTCGCAGCATAAGTAGCTGGGCCTCGTTTGACATAGCCGCTCTTCCTGGCAGCAGGAGAGGAGACAACGGCTGCCGGAGCACGCATCTTATTTGGGATCTCAGCGCGCGAAGCTGGTGGCTGCGCAGGTTTCTCACCTGCAGCCCTGGTGCCGATTGGCCAGTACTTAACGGGAAGACCATCCTCGATGGCCCGAAGACCACCCCGTTGGAGCATAGGACTACTTAAATCAGCCAAGAACGAAGTTCGAAAGAGAAGAAAGGACATACATATCAAACTCGCTGTCCCACTCAGCATTCTTGCCAAGATAGAAGTCGCACTGAGAGCCTTTTCCATATGTCTGAGCGTCAAGCTTATTGAACCCAAACCGCGCCCCTTAACCGGTAACTGCTGCCTGTCCATTCTGTGTGTACCCCAAGCGGCCACTGCGACAGGTTTTCCAATCCAGGTCCTTGCTCTTATAACAGAAGTAAAGATTTTCAATCTCGTTCAGTAACTCCGTCCCGGCATCACCGTAAGACATCTTCAGGCAGACCGCCTGGAACATCTGATCCCAACAAGACCAGAAAGGGAAGAGCGCAGATAGGTTCTGAAAGAGGCCATCCCCCTCGGTGAACCGACGAAAGCTGTGTTTGTATTGCTCTATAGCGCGATAGAGACCGCTCAAGAAGTTGTACGAGACTATGATAATGTCCATTTCCAGACGAGTGCACTTGCTGGGGTGCAGACAGCCACCAGCGCCTGCCTGGTGATTATTAAAGATGACTCCAGACATCTCATGCGCAGATTGGAGTCAATGCAGATCTCCTAACAGCCGCTGCTGTGACGGGCCATGTCCCTCAGGAACGCGCAATGGGCCATTGATTCGGCCGACCTCACGAAAGAACAGCCGAGGAGCGCAGGTTAAGAAAGCCAACTACGAATGTCTGTACGAATGCGGGGGAGTTCTTCACCAACTTGTATTCGAGGCTCCAAGATCGAGCGGATCGTGATAGGGGCGACTGAAGATTTTCCGAAGGGCTAGGCCATAGCAAGTCACGTACCGGTTGATTTTTCTATCTGGAGGGGTAATTGTGATGCGACGTCCGAGGCTTCTTCAGGAGTATCCTGGGACTCAGCATGAGTACATGTTCGAGTACCCGAAATGACAGAGGACCGGTCTGACCAACACTAGAAGGATCATAGATTGTACGGTTTGTGTTGATGTGTGTTGATGAGTATGAGTATAAGGGCATTTTCAGCTGCATTAGCCTCATTATGAACCCAAGGTCTGTGGACATGTATGGAATTCTCAACCTGGTCGTTGAGTCAGTCAACGGGCTTCGGTTTCAAGGTCTCCATGGCCAGGTCCGGACGCAACGTCGAGATCGCTGAACCGTCCAGGGTGTAGTATTCTGCGTTCTCCACTGGCGGTGTTTGTCTACCCTAAGCACATATCGGATCACCGGACTCATTTTGAATTAGTGGGCTTGTTCAGCGATACTGTATTCTCGAGATTTGACGACTGCCTTGACAGCACCATCGCCGCCGACGAGCCACTTCTATTGAGGGCAAAACACTCGACCGGCGTGCTGGTGCTTAGTCCTGTCAGGCATGGTAGGAAGACGATAAACGCGACAAGCCACAAATTCATATCGTCTCTTAAGCGGTTTCGAGACTCGGACCGGCCAGATTCAATGATGAGGGTGTTCACTGAGTGGCCGGCAGGTTTGATCATGTCGTCTGCCTGTTGGGAACCACCGTATGGGCAGGGAAGCGTTGATGAGACCGGTATACAGGGCGTTAAATCGATATTATTTGAAGAATGCAGCCCTGAACAAATTTGATAGCCGGCAATATCAATAGAATCAGAACTCCGGGAAGAAGGTGGCATTGGAGCAGTAGCAGTAATAATGTACTGGAGTCCTGGGAAGACCTGCCTGGCAAGACGTTAGCCATGCGAATATGAGAGCCTTTGAACTAACGACATACCAGAGACAATCCGAATCTTCCGGGTCCGAAGGCTGCTTCGCGGTCGTTAACTACGGCCGCGAAGAAAAAGAAAAGCACTGCCGAAGGGATAGCCTTGTATTAGATGCTACCTGATTGTGCCAAATAGATCATTCTACTATGAAGATTTTGGTGGCAGTGGAAGAAGAAATGATGAAGGACCAGTAGTAAAATGTGAAGGTGAGAAGCAAGCCATGTTTATCTCACATGTGAATACTCTGGAATGGGCCGTCTTGTTATCTATATGTAAATAAGCCCTAGGAAAAGATTCAAGATTGGGAGAGGTTAGGGCGGTTTATATGCTGCGGGATCTTCCGAATTCGTCAACCTGAAGTGAATGTAGATAATCCTAGCATTCACTGCTGTGGCAATCCCTCCACGCATGAAGCAAAGGCGTATGTATGATGCAAACAGAAAGCAAACAGGCCCACGCCATGCCAAATATGCTGTAAGATGCCGGGGTATTTACAAAGACCAAGATATAAAAGTGATGAATGGAATCAAAGGACAGATATGGGATGTCTATAGAACTGGGCTCTCCCAAGAGTCGCGTTTGATCTTCATCAAAGCTGACTGCTTGTGGGGAAAAGTAACCTCTCCTTCTTTGTAGAATCCCGAGTTTTGAAGGTATTGAATGACCCTGTTGCATGTCAGCAAAGCTCTTGCAGCCCAGGAAATGGGATTGAAGCTTACTTCTCATTATCCACCCGTGGCTCCAGCATGACTGTCTGCGTGCGCGGATCCGCAAGCCAGCAGTAATGGACCAATGCACTGAGCCAGATGGCGACCCGGTGCGACCCACGGTATTCCTGCTCTCCCACCAGTAAGTGAATTCCCCGGTCGTAATTGTCCGCCCCTCCGATAAGCGGTCCCAAGCGATCCTCCTTGACCCAGTAGATTTCAAAGTACCCAAACGGCTTGCCGTCCCAGCATCCAATGACGGGAAAGCTGTGACGGCTGGTAAGATTATTGCGAAGGAATTCCTCCTGTTTTGAGATCGGACCGCCCTCTCCCCAGGCTGCATTCACGCGCGGGTCATTCATCCACTTGTGCAGCAGGTCTAGGTCAGACGGCGTGTTCTTCTGAGGTTGCTCAATGTTGCTCATCGAGTGACTATGACCATGGCCCCGATCGCGCATCGCAGACGAGGATAGAATCGGTACGCGGAATGACAGGTATTGCCCGACGCTGGGAATGAACCGGATGTAGAACACTTCTCCCTGATGGGGCGGCTTAGGTCTGACGGGGTGCCGTAGCCCGTTTGTGAACGTGTACTGAGTTGGTGGCGGAGGAAAGTATGTCGGAAGGTGACTGCTAGAAGCAAACGGGCCCTCATTGGGCAAGTGTAGTGGGAAGTCCTTCCCCGCAGGGGAAGCCGGAGACTCAGTTGACAGCGGGCTCTCGCGCGATGGTGACGCAAATCTGGGAGAGAGAAAAGGCGATGCCGGGGCAGATTGCAGTGGGTTTGCAGGGACCAGGGTGAAGACAAACAGGCGGGGGTCAATCTGCCAGAAACTGCGTCGGCTCACGAACATCCGTGACCAGGCCCCGGATTCTCGCGTCTCGCTTGGCTCAAGCCCAACGGAAGATTCCTCCGATGCAATGAGTCCCATGCGCTCCAGCTTCTGCAGCAGGTTGCGTCCCTTGAAGATCCCCTCTCTCTTGAGATGAATGCGCCATTCTCCCTTCGGTTTGCCTGTGAGCGGTGTACGAGCTGCAGCGTCCGTCTGCAAGTGGAGGTCTGGCTCGGGCTCGTGGAAGTACCAGTACAGGCTCACCCAGATCATCATCGCAATCTGACGAGTCGGAGAGGTAGGAGGTTTGAAGTCAGTACTGGGCGGATTGACGATAAACGAAATGTAAAAACAGTCATCGGACAATGTTGGTGTTGTGAAGCGAGCGGTGCGTTGCTTCTCCTCTGCCTCTCCCGGTGCATATCGGGAGCGACCGCGCTCTTCTTCCGGGGGCACGGGATCCTGCGTGGCCTGCTCAGTGTTTTGGTTGGTATAGAGAACAATTGTCCACCCGGGAGGAATTGTGGAGTCTTTCAAGTGCATGTCATTGGATTTGAAGTTGACGCCGCCAAACACAGGCGTCACCGTGTAGCTTTGGCCGTTGGGCAAACGGCAGATAGCGTTACGCATGGTGAGGGAGGGCGGACGGCCTATTGTTTGGAGGAGGGAAAGACGAAAAGACGCAGGGCTCAGAGGATCAGGCAAACATGAGGAGAAAAGATTAAATAGAATATGGAGACGAGGGTGGATACATGAGCCGACGGAAATCCCACAGTGGAAGTGGGATGACTTTCCTGTCTTTGCCGCTCATCGATGACGAAGGGACCCGCTCCCGTTATCAATCTTATCGCCCTCGGCATGTTGACTGTGGACATCTCCATCTTAGAGAGGTACACAAGGAATTCATGTCGTCTTAGTCGTTGAATAATCTATTCGGTCTTACTGTCGGCATTGAGTATTGCGTTGAATGTGCTACTATCGAGGGGATTATGATCTTCCTTTGATATCATACTACGTGGCAGGGGCCCGCAGATTCTTGCAGCCATAGTCAAATCGATTGAAGGGTATAGAAAGCGAAACAGGTCCTTTAAAATACAGCAAAGATTCGACACTTCAGAATCATAGAGTCTAAAAGTCCTCCACGCTGGTTCCCACATTTCTCGTCCGAGCCATCTGGACGAGATCGCCTCCAGTCACCAGGTCCATCAAGCCCAGGCCTACGCTCTTGTAGATGACATTGCCTCGTTCAACCCACTCGCGCAGGCTCTTGGTGTCTTCCCCGTCCTGGTTGTTGTCCTTTCGCGATGCGTCCCGTACCATCAGGAGCTCTCCCAGCTCAACAACCTGGTTCGGCTTGATGCCCGCCTGGATCAATTCTCCGGCCTCCTTCAGAGCAGCTTCGAGACTGTCGACGACCACGACACCACTACGTTTAACGTGTTTGTGGAAATGCCGACCGGAATGGTGCGCGATCACCTCTTCGCGCAGAATGTCTGGATGCAGCTCGGTCATGTGAGGTTTGTACGACCCAATGGCGCTAATGAATCGACCCTTTCGGCGACCTTCGCGGGAGGTGAGAAGCTCAGGGGGGAAAAGCGGCCCGATCGACGGAGTACAGCAAAAGATCGCGTCTGATTTATGGATAGCATCGTGGATGATACGGTCGTACTCGCCGAAATCAGTACTGACAGCGGAGAATTTCACGTCACCGCGCCAGCTTGAGTTCTCAGGAGAGTAGATATCCTTGAGAAGCCTGGCTGCCCGTTCAAATGATCGATTGACGATAACGACCCGCTTGATATCCGCCGCACGCAGCGTCAGAGCCAACCGAATGTGCCAGTAAGCCTGTTTACCCGCTCCGAAAACCACCACAGTGCGCACTCTCTTGCGCTTGTTGAAAATCATCATCGTGGCCAGGGCCGTCCGAAACGGCGTGAGTTCATGAGCATTGATCAGCCCGAACGGCATGCTGTCGGCGCCCAGCAACGTCACAGTGCCCTGCGGCGAGGTGTCTCGAGAACCGGCTCCGGGCCATGCACCTAGCGTCTTGGAGATGCTGGAGCCAACTGATTGACGATTCACAGTGCCAGACTTGAGCGATCGGCTGCTAGATGAACTCGTCGATCCTTCTTCCTGTGATGATATAGACAGATCACTCATTTCAGACGACAGCGACGTCATGGAGCTCCTTGGGCCCGCCGACCGCGACCTTGAAGCAGTCTTCATTCCCTCGGGAATTTCAAAAGCCCCTTCCACAGCACATCCTGCAGCACCTCCGTCTTGTAGAGAAATCATCTTCATGCCGATCGTTCGGCCGGTACTGGCGGGCATGAACAGTGTCGTGCAGCCATTCTGCCGGGTGATAGCGGTTCTGAGAGGTTGGTACGTCGCGGCACAACCCTGTTCTTGGCTTCCGGTCGAGTATTCTAGTAAGGCCTGGGCAAGGCTTTGTTGTAGCGAGGACACCTCATCGCGGTTCAGAGAAAGCAGCAGCGAGCGAAGCTGCGCTTGGGAGAGGATGGTCAGCGGCATAAGGAGGAGATGTTGATCAAGCAGACTGACTAGGAGAAAATGCTAGTAACACAAGAAGAAGACCAAGAGCGTTATTGAGGACGAAGAGATGATGAGTGATACGAAGTGAGCGTCAGCCTGACTAAGGCAAAGGAACAGTCATCCACCTTTTCGACTTGCTTCGATAAATAAATAGACTACCAAAGTAGTCTGGTACGCCCACAATAATAAATAATCGCGCAAAGGATACGCAAGACCGTAACTCCGTACATGATGGGCGATTTGCCCATTCTGTGACCCGCATTTGGGTGGGATCCAAGGTCTGTAAGCCCGCAACCGGTCGGAGATTCTCGCGTTATCCAGAACAGATGACGGAGGTCAAGCCTTGGCTCAGCTCGGACTTTGGAGATAGGGCGGGGCTGGATGCCGGTGTTTACTGTAAGTGTGACATGATGATTGACGACGATTATCTTTCTTTAGGTTCATACCATACGTACATAATTATCGCATAAGTTCCATGATGAGCATCAACAACATTTTGGAACTATTTGTCATTTGTCCTTCTAGAAATATCTGCATATGCATGTACACTGCTATATCAACTACATGATAAATACCGTCCTCACCCAGATGCTTACTACCCCTCGTATCGATTCATAGGGTGCAAATATGCAAATACAAAACTTCTTCCATTTAGTCAGGTTACCTCCCAAATGATAAACACGCAGATAACCAAAGCAAAAACACCAGATCCCATCTCAGTGACGCATCCGTATCTAATCCCCATGACAGTCCGCTATGGAATATCGGACTGCCACAAATATTGCCAAAAACACCAACAAAAAGACTTGAACCAGACAATCTGATCAGTATCCCCACATATCCCCGTCGTCCTTCACTATATCATCCTCGTTCAAGACCCGCAAGCCGTTCTCCTTAGTCTCTCGTTTCCGCTGTCGCTTGGTCACGATACGGCTAGGTGTGAGTGGAGTAACAGGGGTGAAGGGCATATATGGACTGTAAGGTGTCGGCAACCCCGTCCGAGGACCGTTTAGTGGTTTTAAAGGACGTTCTATGACCGTTGTCTTGGTCGGAGGAGCACTCTGCAGGGGAAATGCATCACGGAATGGGAGGGAAGACGAGCCGTGGCTCGCTGTAGATAGGCTCAGTGGAGCTGGGGCAGGAGCTCGTCCAGGGGGCTTCCCTAGAGACACCTGACTAGACGCCTGACTGATTGTTATTGGGGGTGCTGGCGGAGGAGCCGGGTTGTAGAGGCGAGGAGTTAACGGCATTTGGTCCTCGCCATAAGAGGTCGGCGCGGTTAAATCGGGAGAGCCCACGGGTGAGGATATGGACAAATTGCGTAGAGGCAATCGAGGAGAACGAAGCTTGCTCGCTTTCGCCGGCGGACGCGGGTTTGAATTGAACAAGGACAGGGATGATATCTTTGATAGCCTCGAGCTCTTTGGGCTCATGGGGGGCTTCATCTGTGAGATCGAAGGCCTTTCTGATGTCCGCGAGGAACGATCTGTGAACGGATTGGTGTGCACACTGTCTGGCGATTGAACTTCCCATTCTTGCTTCGAGGTGTCTATCCCGGCCGCCCGCTGTGCGTCGTGCTCCATGACTGCCGCATAGAGCATTTCCATTTCCTCTTGAGCCCTGCGCCGATCGATGGCAACCACGGATTCATCAATCGTAGCAGCGCTGCCATTGCCGGAGACGTGGGATCTTGGACCGTTAGCTAAGCTGCCCCAGGACCTGCTGAAGCCGTTTTGTCCAGTTGGACTTGGAAGACGAGCTGAGATTGGAGTGATAGGACTGGGATCCATGCTGACGGCTTGCTTGGTAGGTTTCATCATCTCAACGTGTAGCGTGTAGTTCGATGCTTGTACCGCTCTTCGCAGTCGTCGTCCCACAAAGAGCAACAGAGTCAAAAGTATGGCGACGAAGATCACGTATGCTCCAACAATGCCTCCTATCTGAATTGCCAGTAGGGACTGATCCACGGGAGGTTCCGTGGACAAAGCAATACCACGACGATCCAGGTCGAGGTTCAAGGTCAGATCTCCAAAGGATACTGAGCCAGCAGTAACAATATGACAAAGAGTGAAAAGGAGCAACATCAAGAAGGGCATCATCTTTCGTATCCGCCAGAGAACAAGCAATTAAGTATGATCAGTATACATATCGAGTGATTGCGAATGAGCCCGCAAATCCCTTACGGAAACAGACAAAATGGCACACATCCTTGAATGAGAGGGGGGATAGTGGATATATTGCCGACTTATTGGATGTGATAATGTGAAGACTGAAGAAAGAGGCTGCGGAACCTGCAGGATTTACTGGTAGAAGGTTTGAAGAAGACTGTGACACCTTTGAGACGACGCAACCGACGACGGCGGTTGGTGCAAATACGCGCCGGCATGCACACCCGGCACGCCATCACATCCTATCGTTGGCCATGAAGACACTCCCTAGGGATGATCGAGCAACGTGACTATGCTAGTTACAGGCTGCCATTCCACTTTTACCGAAAAGACGGAATAGAAGAGTCGATGTTACAAAGATAACCGGATTATTGTAGAGCCTGGTATCGTGGCTTTCGAAAGAACGTACCTACCTACAGTACCTGTATCTAGATATTTGCCTTAGGCATCAAGTCCAATGTCTCCAGGATAGAGAGAACTATGAAATAGCCGCTAATCCATATGGGCTAGTAGTTCATGGTCAAAGCTTCCGTTCTTGCCTGAGGCATAACTGCCGTGATACTGTATGAATTACTCGACTAGGAAACAGCGATGTATTGCATAGCTATTGTGCTTCATGGAGAGCTACCCCCTTGGTTGCAGACATATACTTGCCTCCTCCTTGCAATGGAATCAGTCGGATCGTTCGTTAGCAACAGGACCTCTTAAGCGTTACTTGGTCACTAGCATTCTTTATATGTTAGACTCGCACTCTCGTTCGTCCCCTGCCACTATGGGAAACAAAGTCTCCTCGATCCACGGTGTCAAATCAGATCACTACTATGAAAAGGGGAATGGAATCAATGAGATCTGGGTCGGAGATGTAGAGCTCATCTCCCGTCTCCCATTCGGAGACTCCGACCTGGCACAGGCTGCATGGCCAATTGGAGGTTGGCCTAAGATTCCATGGCATAACTTCATAATTCCTCTGAAAAGACGAGCGTTATCAGCCATCGAGTCATTGTCGCCAGGTGACGATGAGCATCAACAAATGTCGAAAAGAGCCGCGCCAGACAGCGGCCCCCCTTTCCATCTTTCTCGGGTCAGTTTGATTGTCGCTGTGTCTGTTCTGTCGTCCCTCTTTATGGTGGCCATATATCTCCCGATCTTCGTCCGAAGGCATAMAGCATCCTACTGTTGGCAAGCAGACATCGCAAGACGCAGAGAACAAAAGAGACGATTCGCCACACGCGCTGGCATTGCAACAATGGCGCTCGCAGTCTCTTTGGTCATCGCCATCTTGCAATTCCACGTTTGGACACTCATTCGTTTTGTCTTTGCACCTAAGAGCGCCAAGTTTCAGATATTGGAGGTTCTCTGGATAGCCGTAGGTTGCGTTGGCCTTTTCTACTCTGTAAAGGCAGTAACCCTACTCTGGCTTGACTTGCGGGATGCCCGTCGTTCAACAGTGGAAGAATCCCAGAACGTGTCGAACGGGATCATAGAGAAACAGCTTCCTGCAATTCTGGTGTCGTGGCTCGAAAGACAGCGCCGACCTTGAGGTTTCAACATTCTCTCATGTGACATGACTTGTTATCATTTTTGAGATGAAGCGTCTGTTCTTCTGCGTTTCCTAGACGTGTGCGCAGCGCATTATCCCTTGGCAGTATTCTTAAAAGAAACATTACTGAGCATGAATGTTCCATCACTCTGGCCAGAATCGATAAAAGTAGCACGATGGATCCAGCCCTAGGCGTATTTCACTCATATCGCACATAACATGTCCCAGACAATATGTAGACCTGGCTTACCTTTCGTTCTTTTTTGAGAACAGGTCGCGCCAGAGATCCTTGAATCCGTAGCCTTTGGACGCGTCTTCGTCGTAGACACGGGAAGCCTGAGCAGTACTGAAGGTACTAAGCACCTTATTGGTGCTTGACTTTGCTGTCGGCACACGAGTGCTGACTCTTTCCGTAGCTCTGCGTTTGATCTCCTCCGCCAAACTTGGCGCGACATCCGCATAGCAATTATTTAGCTCCCGTTCCAGATTGAGATACGGCTTTTGGGCGACGGGTGGTGCTTGAAGGTTGTACGACCGAGTCAAGGTATTAATGTGCTTGATTTGAAGCTCGTGATACGAACGCTCGGTTGAGAGGTACTGTGGATCACGTAGGGGCGAAAAGTGCGGTAGCTGATTCTCGTCGGAGTTCGAGGTCGTTTCAGTCTTTGTGATTTCATCTGCTGTTGTAGAGGATGCAGTACCTTCTGTATCCCGGAACGCTTCCTCAATCTTGGTTCTCTCCGCCAGTCGAGCTTCAGCTGCCGCATAAGCCTGAGCACGTCTCATCTGAGCTTCTAGAGACCCTCCCTTGCTAGCGATCAACCTTGCTGCATGTCGTCTCCATTCAACCCTCAAACGTTCTCGGAACCTATCGACCTCCCTCGCTAGCTCCTGTTGCTTCTCGATCCATGGTGGTACAATCTCCTGCTTCTGGATGATCTTGTTCATGAAATACTCGGTGGTGTCGATGAACGCGCTATTTGCATTATGATCCGACTGGACGTTTACGCCTTTGCCTCGCTTGATATTGTTGAACTGTCCACGCGCAATTGCGTCCTCTATCCGTTCGTTTGCAAGAGATGACAATCCTTGTAGGGTCATCGGCATCGGCCGCGCACCAGCGGTGAATCTCTCGCTCATCTCCCTTCGTATGGCTTCACGCTCGTCTCCCGATATCCCCGGACTTTGACTCAAGGTATAGGTGGCGCTGCGCTCTTTCGCATCGGCGATCCGGAGACCCGGGGATTTTGAGGGTTTGGGGCTAATGCGCATATCAACTGGAGTAGGCTGAGGAATCTTGTAAGGGACCCGCATCGGCTTCTTTGAACTATCTAACATGCGCAGGGTGGCGTCGTGGAGGCTTTCCGTCCCTGTCCAGGGAGCAGCTCCGGCGATGTCTCGAGTACCCTGACCTGCACTTTCCTTCAATTGGTCAGCCAAAGCCTGTAGTATGAACTGCCGCTCTGTATCAACTTACCGGCATATCGACGACTGAATGAGCTGCAGAATACTCGTTTTTGAACGCAGTTGCCGCTATTCGTTCCTGTAGCTGCTTCTTGAGATCTTCCGAGAACCCCGCCTGCTCCATGTTCCTTCGCGCTGACCGACCTCCTTCCAGCATAGCTTGCTCGGTCATCTCGGATAACCTTCTTTGCATGGCGCTTTCTTCTTCAGGGCTATCCTGTGAATGCGATGCATCACTGCTTGGGTTCGTCTGAGAGCCCGCATTTTGCCTCCTGCTCGCTGTAGAGAAAGGTCTGTGAATTTGTCTGGTGGGTCGGTATAACGACGTAGTACTTTTGATTATAGTCGTATGTCTTATGCTCATATCTATAAAGGGTCTAATAACCACAACGAGCTTTTCAACGGAGTTGGAGAAGAGAGCTTGAGAACTTCTGCAATGCAGAGGCTCTTCGGGCTTATCGTCTTCATACTCCAGCAGTGTTTATGTCAGCCACTCGCCATTCCGCCGCAGCCACCGAAAGTCTTGGCACCTCCGAAAGTTTCCCGACAATTTCTTGACGTTGCAAGGTTGAAGGGTTCTTGGCTGAGGGTTCGAACTACGCTGCTGCTTTTGCTTTTCAGCTCTTCGAGTGCAACAGTCTGAGAGAATATTGTCTCCATTCGACTGTCAGAATGCCTCCCAAGGGCGTCTCGACTCGCCTCAACCCCGTGCGCCTGCAGACCATCCCTCATCTGCGGGTTCGGCGTCCGAATCAACATGAGCAGAATCCCTGCGTGACGATCATGTCGTCTATGCTGAGTATGTTTCTCATCTACTTATTGCAATTGTCATGGTTTCTATGCAGCTTCATGATCCTTCCTTGCCAATCATGTGCGAATTGAACTCTGCACCTCGAATCAAGATCTAACTGTCGCATGATAGGCTGCTGGGCATCTTCTGGAGGCTCTGTGGAGGGCTGCGCAGCTTTGGAGCAACAATTGAGACAATGCATGGATGGACCGGTACGTTAACCATAGTTTCTATCTCTACTTCGTCCTCCATTGTGTTCGATGTTCAATGCTGACAACAAGTCTCCTCTTGCAGAAACCCAAGGGCAACAAGAAGAACACCATCAACTACCATCTTATGAGAATGTATCCCAAGGTCGTCGGACCTCAGAAGAAGAAGGGTCGACTTGGATAAATCAGCTCGTCCCACTCATTGCGATTTTACACTCCCTGTCGCACATATCGCACCGGTTACACAACCTCTGGCCCCAGGCTCGATTTCGTTGGCGGTGGCTTGACAGAATTACAGAGCTCCGGAGAGCCCCGGGTTATGGACTGAGTCGTGCTTAACGGGCAAAATCAAAACATATCTATCACTGGAGTTTGGGTTCGATTTACGGCAATGACAACTTAAAGCTGTGCTTTTATATCAGGGGATGTGGGAGTTTGTATATGTTATCTGTACATTAATCTGTCAACTCATATACCTTGTTTGTCATCAGATCTTGTCGTTTTACAGTTTATACTGCTATATGCCTCCTATGCTTCGACTGACCTTCTACAACACAGCCTAAGGTGGCTGCATAACAGCGGTATAAAAGCAGTTCCTCTTCGGGACGCAAAGAAACTTGTAAATGACGCCAGATAGATTTCGGCTGGCTCCGCCATCCATTTCAGAAGTTCGAAGCTGAAAACTGGAATAATGCCACACTGGACCATAGCGGGTGATCGTGCGGGGGATTTTATAAGGCATGTTACTCTGTATGAAGCTGTATTGTTTCAATTTAATGTTTGGCACGCAGACGTGATTAATAGGTTGAATATAGAATAGCATGGTGAAATTCAATCTTGCTCGCAAATTCAACTTGACGCTATCATTCAACTAGTTCAAATCTGAGGATTAGCTTCTCTCCTGTTGGCTTCACCGTGTATGCATCAATCGCTTCCATGTTATCGTCATTGACGATTGAAGTTTTAAAATTAGTATAAACAGCAGCTACCACTAACTTCATTTCTGCAGTCATGTCAGCTAGAGACTTTTTTGAGCCGAAAATGCTGCCTTACCTTGCAAGGCCAAGTTACTGCCTACACACATTCTTCCCCCACTTCCGAAAGCCCAGAACCATCGCCTTCTCTCCTCCAATTCAGAAGGAGTATTGACGTCTTTCAGCCACCGTTTAGGTTCCCAGGTCTCAGGGTCTGGGAACACCTCTGGATTGCGGTGGAGGGAATAAGCTTGGGCATTGACCCTAGTATTGGGAGGGATGTTGTTGTATCCCACCAGAGTACACGACGGATACGGCGTGACTCGAGGTTGGATTCCTGGGATTGGAGCATGAAGGCGCAGCGTCTCCGTGACGATTGCTTCAAGCAGCGGCAAGGAGTCAATTGACTTTGCCGGAGGCAACTCCGCGGATTCGGACGGGCGAGGGAAGATAATCCTTGGTTCAAGGGTGGAAAGTTCTTCCCGAAGGGCGTCCTGTAAACCAGGGCGCTTTGAGAGTTCCCAAAGAAGATATGTAAGAGCGACGGCGCTGGTTTCATGACCCGCCGTTAGGTGGTCGTACATCTCGCAGGCAATATCAAGCCGCTGCTGCTCGAGGATCTGCGCGTATTCCACGTCATCTTTGTTTGCTGGAAGGTGCTTCGATATCACCTGCTTGAGTTGTTTATACACGGCCGGCTCATCTTCGAGTCTGGTCGACTTCAGCGATTCCTCTGCTTTATCGCACAGTCCCAGCCCCCAAGAGTCGAGTATCTCGTTGGCCTTGTCGCAATACTTTGGTATCAAGCGGATACCCAAAGACTTTGTCCAAGAAAGAATGTTAGGGACCTCCTGGTAATAGAACTCAAAGGGCTTCCTGCTCTGGTATAAATAGAGCATCCTTTGTCTATAAGGCGCGTCCTGAAGGAAATTGGTGCCGTTTGTGACGCCGTATAGATATGCAGATACGAAGTCCATTGTCAGTCCCTGGTTGAGGTCATGAACATCAACGGGTGAGTTTGACGTGGCTGCTTCGGATAGAATTGGGAGAAGACGATCATATACTATAGTTCTCGAGATGAGACGCATATGAGGTGACGATTGTAGAAACGACTTGCTGTAGATGTTGGACAGCATCCTCTTGCGAACCGAGTGATCTTTGCTTCCAGTCATGGTGAACATGCTGACGGTTCTACGTGTCGTGCTTCAGTCAGAAGTTTCACCTTGCTACTTTCTGGGGTCTCTTACCCAAACGATCCGAAGACCCGAGGATACCACTCATGCTTCTCGAAGCCTCCGGTGTACACAGTCTTGATACCCCCCTCAACGCAATTTATCGAGATTTCAGAGGGACCCAATCGCACAATGGACCCGAGTCTTTCATGAGCCGCTTGAATAGTTCGATTGTTCTGGCTTCTAAAACGCTTCCAGAGTATCCAAGCAGGTGAGATCGGGGATGACCAATGTGCATTCGGTATCTTTGAAAGCGGTGATAGAAAGACTGGATACACAATTGTTTTGTATGCTACAAAGAGTAGCAAAACCACAATGGATAGCGATGTGTATATAGAGACCGCCATCGCCGCGAATTTAGTTGAAATAACAAGCCAACTCAGGTTAACTGGGGTTCTCAGAATGCCGCATCAACCAGGATGGCAGTAAAGAAGTTCACACACCAACTTATCAGCAGACAGTTATACGCCTAGATATGTCTTTCAGTTGACTTCACTTAGAACTAGTCGGACGGCAGGGACTGCTATAACAGGGTGGACCTACCTTATGAGGATACCATATACGCAACCCCGCATGAGGAACTCTACTGGCGCAGAAGCAGAATCCCTAAACGGCGAAGAGAGATTCGAGCCCTACAGTTGTGACTCAATGAAGTATATCTTGGACTTTTAGTAATGAATACTAAACGAGTGGATACAAATGCGACCGAACATGGGGTTGGACCGTTGGAGTACTCCAACGCCCCCGCATGAGCACACAGAGATAAGGCAGGCTGATAAGGCGATAAGGAATCACTAGCGGACAAAGGCACCGATGATGACATAAGGAGGCACACAATGTATTTACTGATTTTCTTAGTTGCTTAGGCCCTTACGTCAGGCTTGGTTCTAAATATTGAAGAGCTACAGCACTTTGCCGTTCATAAAAGCAACCGATGTTCATATTCCTCTATGGTTTATCTGAGTTTCTACTAAATAATAAGTGTTGCTGCATGAGTCAAGCCATGACTCCTCAACATAACCACTATCGCCGCGGTGACTGATGGGCCTTGACAGCCCAATGCAAATCCACAGAAAATGCTCTGGATCGCTATGGAAACATAATGATGAGAGAAATTTATAACAGTATATAGACCTTTCTCTTGAAAACACTATAGGTATGCTTTTCTGCTGATATCACAAACGTCTTGGAATCCTCTACAAAGCAAAACATGCTAAAGTATTTTGAAGAATCAACCTCTTTCCTTACGTCCTCTACATACACTGCTTGATTTGATAGAAAGTCTGTGCTGAAATCGACTTCGAAATGCTGCTGTCTGATTTACCGTCGGACATAATATACGTGATAGCAACATATCTTCCGTCTGCCAGCTCATTGGCCGCCCTCGCTCAGACATGCCAACGCCTGCACAAGGTCATCGCTGCTGAGGACTGGCGGGTATTCCATGGACATTTCAAGAATCGTTTCCCCTTCGTTGATACGCCTCCTTTTTGGAAGGATGCAACTCAGGCGCTCACGGCGCGCGCTCGAGCATTGGACAGACTTGGACTGCTTTGTCGCTTCGTCCTCCCCCCACGCGATGCGGTGAAGGTTGGATCCCATCGGGGCACCCGGCAGGACAACCCTACGCACGGGTACCGTCCCTCGATTGATTCATATGAATCTTGGCCAGGTGGTTCCTGGTCGGAAAGGAAGGAGGTGCTCGTCTGGGGCGCCGCGGATGAGTTAGTTTTACGGATTCGGCAGCCCACGTATCGCGCCGGAGAGAAGTGGTTCATTTTTAACGACGTGGAGACGAAGATCAGCAGCTACCATGACATTTGTGGCGTACATCTCCTCAAACAAGAGCATCATAGCAGAAAGGCAGGCGACGAGCACATAATATTTGGTCGTCTGAACGGCGACCTATGCCATGTTGCGATTTCGCCGGACACAGCGTCTCACAAATACTACCAACGTTTCTTGACCAATGGCCATGGGCTTGAGCGCACAGAGTTGAGTGGAGGTGCAGAGCCTATTCTGGCGGCCCATTTGAACAATGGATCCATCGTCTTCTATCAGACCACAACGGGAGAAGCCGAAGTTGAGTCGTTTGCGGATTGCAAAATCACTCCAGACGGCACGGCACGTAACAAGTATTCCAAGTTCTTGTCGCCTGAGTGTATTGCGTATGGAACGGGACGCCAGGAGAATTCCTTAACTATCACCACGATTTCTAAAGAACGACTATCGGTGAACCGCGAGATCAGCGTCACCTCCTTGGATATAGGGGAAAGTATCGGCCTCCGTCGAAAGGCCAACGTGAGCGCAATCGCACCTCTCACTGCTCAGTTCACCAGAGAATCCTCTGGCCAAGTATTCCTTGCTGCCTGGGGTGACCGCTGCATCAGGTACTAATTTCCCTTATGTTTCTCGGTCGTTTGCATGATGGCTAACTTTCACAACTAGACTTCACGATCTACGCTCGCACCAGCCTTTCGAGTATACCTACCGTGACACAATCGATACGAATCCTATTTATTGTATACACCCATTCGGCCAGGATCGTTTTCTAGCAGGCGCAGGCGGAGACGCCGTGGTCAAGATTTATGACCTTCGGATGCAAAGCGCCTACAGCCACAAGAATACACAAATTCCTTCTCCTCCAAATGACCTTCGCCGGTCCTCTAACGGCTCCACTCCTTACCTCAGCGGGTTCCAAAACACTGTGACCTGTCCGCGCAAAGATTTCTCGATCTTCCTTACAACATCCCCTTCCGTCCGCTGGAACTCGAAAGCAGCACGCTCACGCGTAGATCGTCAATATCGCGGACCAATCTACACCATGTCCTCCCCCTCGCCCTCCTCGTCAACCATTTACACCGGCATCGTTGACGGGGTGATGCGGCTCGACTTCGCCTCGTCGGATGATTTGACGGGCCCCTCCCAAGCATGGTATCGAGATTATTTCGGCTTGTACTCAGATGTAACTCGTCCTGCGACTCTAGCGGATCGGATCATAGAGCTTTCTGGCTACGAACGTCGGGATTCAACCAGTGCGTCCAAGTTGAGGACTCAGCAGCCCTTTGCGCGGATTGAACCCGAGGATATTGAACATGAGAAGAATACTGGTTGGGACAGAAGATGGCAGCGGTTAGGACCACCGGGTGCCTGGAGACGGTCGGATCGGGCTACGTGAGTGCCGTGACCCCGTCTCGATCGGCAATCTACATTAGGTTGCAAGACCAAGCGGAGGGTTTTATGTGTAGGATGGGAGAGGATTCCTCCCAAAAAGTAGACTCTAAAAGGAACAATGCACATTGTCACTAGATCTAGGAAGAATAGAAATAAAATAAGAAATATTTTCTCCAGCTCCATTAGCGCCCTGCTTGTTAAAGGAACATGAAAAGTATGGCAGAATCCCCAGGATTACTTCTCGATCTAGTCTCATCTAGAACAGAACTTTTGGAAAAGAAAAAGTCACGAATGCACGTTGAAAATAACACGCAAGTCTCGTCTACAATTCTATTGCTCTGGTGGAAATGAGCGGCTTTGAAGGGACAGAAGATGCCTTAGTCCTCAAACTTGAAGGACTTGCCTCCGGAGATGTCAATGGGGCCGCCGCGGTAGGAGCCACGCTTCTTCTTGTTCTTCTCTTTTGTGAAGCCCTTGCCGCGAGTTATAGACAGATCCTTCCATGCCTTTTCGGCGTAGGCGTATGGGATGTACTCGTTCGAGGGGTGGTCATGTGGCAGTTCACTAAGAACAGCGAGAGGTGTGGGACGAGCTCCAGTGTGCTTCTTCTTTTGAGCTGGGTCATTTCCGGGAGCGGGGCTGGCGCTGGAAGAGCTGGTCTCTTGAATCTGCTTCGTGGTCTTGTTCACGGACTCCTTCGCATCGGAATCAGAGGGTTGGACAGTTTTGCTGCTGCTAGAGGAGTTCTGCGAGGACGAGGAGCTGCGGCTGCCGCTATTCTGATCCTCATCGGAAGAAGACTCGTCGGAGGAGGATGAATCAGAGTCGCTGGACGAGCTTGAGCTTGATTCAGGCAAGGGTGTCTTGGCAGCAGTCTTCAGGACCTTCTTAGCAGCCTTCTTGGCGGGTTCCTCCTCGGATTCAGACGAGGAGTCGGAGTCGGAGTCTGAGCTGGAACCAGATGAAGAACCGCTCTCACTGTCGGAGGACTCGGAGTCGGAGTCGGAATCAGAAGATGAACCGCTGCTCTCACTGGCGGAGGAGTCAGATTCCTCGTCCTCCGAATCCGACGACTCGGACGAAGATGAGGATGAGTCTGACTTAGTCGAGAGCTTGGCCTTCTTGGTCTTCGGAGCCTCGTCTTCGGATTCTGATTCCGAAGACGATTCGGATGAGCTCGATTCCGCCTTGCGCTTGGTGCCGGTGGTCTTCGGCGCTGGAGCAGGCGCTGGGACGGCATCGTCATCCTCTTCGTCATCGGCATCGCTGTCAGAGCTCGAAGAGGAAGAGGAAGAGGAAGACGAGGAAGGAGAGGATTCTCTAGATTCCTTCCTTTGCATTTTCGGCGCGTCATTCATCTCAACATCAGAGTCACTAGACTCACCCTCACTGCTGCTCGAGCTGCTGTCGCTGTCGGAGTTGCTCTCGCTCTTCCGGTCTTGCCAGCTCTGGAAGATGTCCAGCAGTGAGGGGACATCCTTCGAGTCGGCCCTGGCGATCGACTTCTTAGACTGCTCCTTGGCAAGAGCCTCGCTTGTACTTTTGAAGCCAGATTGAGACAAGAAAGCGGCAATCGACGCAATTAACTCTGGTGGAGGAGCGGCAGTTTTGGCCTATGGAATCAGAATCTCGTCAGTGCACGGGTTCAGTATACATGCTTGCGAGTGACAATAGTTGGTTACCTTCGGCTTCTCAATGGGCGCCTTTGAGGACACTTTCTTCACTTTCTGTGCCGCCATTTTGACCAAAGCCTCAGATTGCTTCGCCTCGAGCAAGAGACAACAAAGAACTCCAACTGGTGTTTTTGGTCTTCACTCGGAGAAAAAAAAGGTTTAAAAAAATTGGGCAGAAAAACGGCAACCAGGGCGGTCAGCAAAGTCAGTCTGGCCATTGGCTATCCTTTTTTGGTCTAGCCCCGATGCCAACTCACGTGGTTCCCCGTGACATGATGTATACCGAGGATGGATTACCAAATCACAACAAGGTACCTCTGTAGGTCCAGCAGTAGACCATGACAATGGGATTGAGAACAGTCATTATTCTTTGAGCGAGAATCAACATTCAAAACAATAATAGGTCGATCTCGACCTCTTGATTCAATGGAAACCGCCAGACAGTCATTACCCACCCAACATACTTCAGCAACAGCTCTCCGCCCACTTTAACTGACTAGTGTCCGCAAGTGACCCAACTCCAGTGACTGATGAGCTAATTCGCTGCTTTGCTCCTCCGTGCCTGTGTACTCGACAACGCTCTCATCAAGCTAGCTTGCGCTTGCGACCAACTCCCTCGGTTGTCTTCAATGGTCTGTATCGCATCTCAAGCCTCTCGGCCTCCCTAGTTTGAGCTTTTTTCCTCCTATAGGGCGCGTCATTCCCGAGTTGCCCTCCCCTATCCTCCGACCATGTTCGTCTAATCCTCAAATCATACCCCACGAGTGATCGAAGTTCTGAAGGCGCAAAGAACTAGCCATGAGCAGTCGTGATCGGTCTCGGGTGCCTGCACCCAGTGACGTCCCTCCGCATCGAGAGCCACGCCGGATGGGCGACGGTCGCAATGGCGGTTTCAGTGGGCCCGGTGAGGCAACAATGTCGCGGGCGGAGAAGTTCGAAGACGAAAAGAGACGAATCATTCAAAGCTGTTTCTCGAAGAAGGACAGCGATGGCTCTTGTACGTATACATTTCTTTGCTCCTTTACGTTCCGCTCCAATTTGCTTGTTGGGGCAGACTACGGCGACTGAGAAGGGAATTCGGGGGTTTTTACAAGCCTGCTGCTTTCCTGTAACTCTAAAGCGATAACCTTGCGCCGAGATATGGGAATTTCTCCTACAAACAGCACTCTGGACATTCAGGCTGACCAACTCTACGGCAACAGTGGTTGAATCGTACATAACCCATGTTCGCATTATAGAAGACGCCGCGCATCCGTCGACCCCTGCTCCTCCCAATTCACCGCCTGAGAACAAAAAGCCTCGAGTTATTATCGTCGCTGTTAGGAGATCAGGAAGAGTGCGCATGCATAAAGCTCGAGAGAACAACGATGGCACATTTTCTATCGGGAAGACATGGATGCTCGACGATTTGTCCTCGATTCAGTCATATACCGGCTTTGTCCCGTCAACGCCACTGGAACAACAACACAAACAATGGGCTGCTACCGTCGGCTTTGTAGTAAATGTGGGGAAACCGTACTACTGGCATGCTAGGAGTTCCAAGGAAAAAGATTTTTTCATCGGCAGTCTCGTAAAGATCTATCGGAAATACACCGGCGGAAAAGTACCGAACCTCATTGGGTTTGATGATCGCGAGAGGCAATTGCTCGTTGGAAGCCCTTCTCCTGCTCCTCCGGGCTCGCGAGGCATGGGTCAAGGACCTGCTACTCGCTCTCCCTCTTCGCAGGGCAGCCGGCCTCAGTCGCCATACACTGGTCGCGCCCCCAGCCGCGATGGCCCGCGCGATGTTTCCCGTGAGTTCAGACGACAGCCTTCTGAAGAGCACGCTCTACGAGCGCAAAGAAGTCGAGATCAGATGCAAAGGCCGTCCACAAGCCAGTCGGGAAGAGTGCCTGCTCCTTCACCGTTGGGCCAAACTCCGCAACCGCCGGGAGCAGTTCCCCCTGACCCGCGAGATGAACCTCCTCCGCGGTCAAATGAACGTCTGCCCAAGGCACCCGTACTACCGCCACTGGAACCAAGAACCAAAGAGATTCCTGATAGTCTGGCTGCGTTTAAGCCAGTGTCACATACACCAAGCAGCCAAGCAGATCTTAGCCCAGACCGTCGACCGTCACCCTTGCCACAAGACGGAAAAGCTGGCCTAGAACCCAGACCTGCGCCTCGGACCGAGAACTTAAGCTCGAGTCTGCACGAGACTGAACGCGATAAGGACGCTCGTCCTAGCACGGCTGTGTCTGTGTCTGCCGAGAACCCCGATGTTATGCGGACCGCGGCAAGCAGCATGGAAGCAAATAAGTCTTTGGGCGAGAGCAGGGGAACACTGTCAATTCCAGAGACGCAGATATCTCAGGTCATTGATACACCAGCCGCTCCCGTCAAGATGCACTCTCCCGACATACCACCTGCACTGAGACCAGCTTCTTCGAGAAGCAACAATGTACCTACACCATCTGTGGCCGCTGCACCTCAGGAAACAGCACCATCCGTGACTCCTCTACCCGCAGCTGAGGCGAGCGAGCCACCACGGGAGAGGCTACCAAGTCCACCCCCGGTCAGCTCTCCGGAATCTTTCAAGTCTGTTGAAGAAGAGTCAGATGCACACCGCCCGGGACTGGGCCCGATGATCAAGAAGAAACCAAGCAAAGACATTGCGGGTGCGTTCCGCAAAGCCGCCACTGCCTACGGCGCGTTCAAACCTCGACCTGGTGGTGCTGGTGAGAGACTACTGGCCGCAGCGAAGAAACAGCAAAGTATGTCAGATGAACCGGACGGGATCACCGGCGTCGTTCCCGCACCCTCGCTTCGGGTTGCAACTGAGCTCACGCCTGCGACTGCGTCTGGCTCGCCCGAGAAAGAGACACCCCCTGCCCTCCCGTCTCCGATCAAAGAAGCGCCCTCTCCTGTGGCTCCTACCGCATTGCAGCCTCCCACGGTCGAGGTTACACAACCTCCAGCGGCTGAAACTGCAAGGATCGCTGTTGAAACTCAGGACGAAGCTAGAGATACCGCCAGAGATGAAGTAAAGGCTGTCGCGGATGAAAGAGCAAGGTCCGTCTCTCCGTCACCGAATGGCCGTCGTAGGCGTCGCGAAGACAACACTATAAAGTATTGTCAGGCGCTGGGGATTGACTCGAATATCCTGGAAGGACGGGGTACAGACTTTGATGATATTTTGACTGATCTTGGCTGGAATGGACGTTTGAGCGATGACAAGAAGATTGAGGATCTCGAGGCAGATATTCGTCGTGAGATCGGGCGCGTCGAGGCCACAAGCTGGCTTGGTAACCTCGAACAGCAGGAAGGCAAGGTAGACCAACTGGCAAAGTTAATTGACAAGACTATTGAAGAGTGCGAAGAGCTGGACGGCCTACTGACTCTGTACTCACATGAACTCAACGTAAGTCTTCGCCGTGACTCTTGTTTCTTCCCCTTCTAATCATATTGTACAGACATTGCACGAAGATGTGTCGTATATCGAGACGCAATCTCAAGGTTTGCAGGTGCAGACTGCCAACCAGAAACTGCTTCACAATGAGCTTCAAAACCTTTTGAAGACCCTTTCTATCTCTGTCGTTGACTTGCAGCCACTCAAAGAATCGTCGCTCAGCAATCCAGATGGTTTGAGAGAGATCGAGGCGGTTCTATCGACGCTATATAAAGCCATGCTGATGATTGATCCCGATATATGGCAGAACAAGAAACGGTTGACTGATGCTGCTGGGGAGCAAGGGAGCGTGGGGGTGTATGCCGACACGGAAATAGGACAGATGCGTGCCATCAAAGAGAAAAAGGAGGAATACCGAGCAGAGTCTCGAATGTTCCTGCAACGACTCCGTCAGTTCATGGCTATTGCCTATAAGGTGGCCGAGCAGAAGAGGGTCGATGCTGCAGCGAATGGCCCCAAGGATCCTCTCAAGTTGGATAGCGATGCTCGAGCGTATTTCCGTCAAGAGTTATGGATGTACAACGCTTTGATGCTTTTTGCCCGAGAGGTTAGCGGGTCCGAGTGGCATGGACTGATGAATCTCTACGAACAACAAGCCAAACTGCCTTATCAGAACGAATTCCGGGACAACAACCTGGCGTGGAAGAGAGCCTGCAGAAAACCTAGTGGGGAAGAACAGGAGCTCCTCTTCACCCACCAGGAGAAAGAAAAGGAAAGCGAGGGCATTACAATGGCAGCACGTAAGTTGACGGTGCGACGGGGCAAAACGATCAGGGCCGCAGCGGGTCTGCGGCTTACCCCTGGTGAGAAACAGCATGGGAGACTGGAGCCCTGCGAAGTCTTTGCCGGCACACTTCAGGAAACGCTGAAGATGATCTCTGAAGAGCAGAACTTTATTGTTCATTTCTTCCACTTGAGCTCCTTGATCAACATCGAGTTTTCCGACTTCGTGGCCTCTGGCAACCCCGATGAGCGACCACTTCCTGATTTCAGCGCCAGGCAGCCGCATGATCCCGACCGGGGGATGGCTAGGAAAGTGGAGCAGATCATGGACGAGCTCTACTCGTTCTGGTCGACGGACATGCAGAACCTTGTGGACTGGGCCCTCCAACCGGATCCTCTGTAAGCCACATGAATTCTATAAGAATCACCACGATATGCAAGCTAACACGTACATAGGCAAGGAATTGGGATTCTGTCTGCTCTGGAAAAGGCCATGTCGGACTTTGATGACACCAACCAGGAGTTCATTATTCGCTGCCTGCAGAAGCTGCATTCCCGTCTGAATGGCCTGTTTAATCGCTTCGTTGACGAACAAATCCGGGGAATCGAGGACACCAAGGTCAAGGTCAACAAACGGAAGGGGGTCATCTCGTTCATGCGCGTCTTCCCTAACTTCTCTGCGGCGGTTGAGAATATGCTCTCTCAGCCGAACCAGGAGTTCTTTGACATTCGGGTCAGTGTCAATGAGGCTTATGATCGGATCAACCGAGCTATGTGGGAGTCTCTGAAATTTATTGCCAAGGAAGCACCGACCGGAGTGGGTGCTAGTGGGGGTGACCCCGAAGACAAGGAAGTGCTGAACTACCATATCCTTCTCATTGAGAATATGAACCACTACATTGAAGAGGTGGATGTGCGCGGCCTCCCTGTCCTGGAGCGGTGGCGCGATCGAGCGCACCAAGATTACGAGGAACACCTGAAGCTCTACCTGGACCTGGTGATCCATCGACCACTGGGTAAGCTGCTGGAGTTTATTGATTCGGCTGAAGGGCTGATGGCCGCGGGGGGTAACCCAGCGGACATCGCGAGCCGACCCAGCCACTCCCGGTCCGTTGCCAAGAAGGTGTTGGCGATGTATGATGGCAAAGAGATTCGGCGCGGAATTGAATTGTTGAAGAAACGAGTGGACAAGCACTTTGGAGATGCAGATGATCCGGGGCTCAGTCGCAGCCTGGTCTTAAAAGTACTTCGAGCGTGCGAACGGCGGTATGAGGAAGCGTATGATCGGACGCGACACGTGTTGGATGCAGTCTACGAAGGGCAACTTGAGCTGGAATGGCGAAAGGAGGATGCCATTGTCATGTTCAACCGGTAGCATCGTTTCTTGTCTTTCTGTTGTATTGCTTCTCAGCCGCTTCCTTGTTTGCGTTGTTCTGGGAGCAGGGAGGATTTATGAAGCATTGACATTGACGACAATAGAACTAGGGCGTATTTGGATACAGCATTCGATGGATTGTCTTCAAGCTAGCCTAATTTGACGAACTTCTGTACTTGTATACTGTCACTCCGACTGTGCGATCAGCGATGTACGCGAGAGAAGGGCTTTGTACTTTCTTCCCAGGATCCACCACCGAAGCTAAGAGAAAGAACAGTATTATATGTAGCAGTTTGGACTTGTATATTGACTGATTACGAGTCGGCACTAAACAATAGACTTAAAAAGCATCACAGCCAGCCGCCATCAACTGTGATTATTCTACATGAGCCAATCAAACTACGACATCAAACCAAACTCAATACACCTGAATAGGACCAGAGTAGGATTGATTGGCATACACCAGCCTATCTTATAGTGCGTGTAATGCCGCCTGAATGACAATAGCCATTACCTTCATTCAACGCCACAAAAGGCGTAGGCGTAGCGTCAGGACAACAAGGCTTTGTGCTTTTTCTCAGGCAGTAGTCCAGCTGCACATCCAAAGTCAGACTCACTGTTGATTTGCGACTTCATTGCCCAATTGGCAATGACCTCCTTTCTCTGCTGTCCTGTCGTCTTGGGAACTGGCCTGCTTTTGCGTCTGTCTGCATTTACAGGCTTACAGCAAGATAGAGAAGTCGTCGAGGTACGGCGAACAGTTACTCCGTGCGCGGTGTGATTGATGTATGCGAACTATCAGCTGTCTGTATATCTGTCTGTCTGTCAAATTTTCAAGGCCTACTCGAGCTTGTGCTTGTGTTCGTGCTCGTGCTGACCGCATACCTGTCCGAAGGCCAGGAGGAGAGGGATGGACTGAGATGGGATGGAGACCATGTAGGCCGCACCAATGTACTGGACTCTGTCGTATGGTTGGGAAATGCACCAGGAGTTGCAGTCGCAGTCTGCAGTCTTGTTTGGAGACATGGATACCTCTGTCTTTCTACTGCCACTGCCACTGCCAGAGGTATGTACAAGTCTGAGAGGAGATATGTGTTTAAGAGCCCAGTCTACGTTCGTAGATCAGCTATCGAGTATTTAGGGATCTTAAATTGTCTTGCACTAGCGTAGTAGATATGCTCAGTTAAGCTAATGCATATAGTCTCATCGTTGTAGTACCTCTACTAGATATAGGCGTGCCTGGGCTGAACTCCCTGACTATTGGTTCGATTTGAAATGATAAACCTACGAGTTCGTCAGCCACACTTCCTACCACGACAAACAATTGATCGACAGCTGATGCAAAGACAGTTGCAATCCATTATCATGATACGGATATGGATATGGAATATAGTAGCAGACGATATGCTGCGATATGGTGTTCCAATTGGTCTATGCCCTAGTCTCCCACTCAACGGCTTCATACTGGCAGATGAGGTAGATCCATGAACCTGGGTCTGAGTAACGAATGTAGAATGCATTCGGCCAAGAGCAAACAAAAGATCAGAATCAAATATACAGGCACCCCTCCTCCCTGCCCTCCGGTGTAGCAACTTACCCTCCCTTGACATCCACTGCATCATGTTCGGGACTCTGCATTGGAACCCTCATAGCAAAGAGACCGAGTTCATCGAGTGGCCACATGGCTCCTCGAATCCAGAAAAGAATCCAGCCTGCGATCAGTGCCGGGCCAGAAAGGTATGTAATCGTGTCATACTCTGGTGATCGTACTGACAGCTGGCTACCTTACAACATGTAGGTCAAATGCAGGAAACCCGATAACGAGGGTTGCATCCGATGCACGCGCCAGGGGAAGACGTGCACGTTCAGTCGCGGCAGGCAGCGTGGAAAGCACAGAGTAAAGCATGCGCCGCGTGAGCAGCTGCCATCGTCACTGTCGTCGACCTCTAAAGGCACAGGCACAGACAAGGACGAGGACAAGCCATCTCCTGCTGCAGCGCCAAGTATAGCGGATAATAACGATAGCGAGCGAGGACAACAATCACTGCTGGACGGCATCTTTGACATATCCCTCCTCGCCGACTTTGACCATGAACCGAGCGATCGACACGGTGAGGACACCAGCTTAACCCTCTTCTCCACCATCTTCCCCAGCACGAAGATGGAACCCAAGGCAGAGACAGAGCCGGAACCGGAGCCCAGGATGTCAATGTCAGCAACTCTCCTCTCCCCGCCCCTCAGCTCAGAAGACAAGATCCAACACTACCCCCCTCCAGCCGCCCACCCAGACCCATCCCTCTTCGACATCTGCATCGCGATGCCCACAGCCCTACGCACCTCCGCCTCTACCGCATCCGGGCCATGCCAATGCCTGGCCGCCATCGTCTTCGCCGTCGAGGACTTGGAAGCCAGCTGCACCGCCGGCCACCGCGCCGAATTGGACTCCATCACCGCGTACCAGAAGGAAGTCATCACGCGCTGCCGCTCGCAGCTCAAGTGCAGCGGGTGCATGGCTAGGCGGGAGACCCTCGTGCTGCTGGTTTTTATGCTCGAGAAGCTCGTTGCGGCCTGTGGACGTATTGTGGGGCTGTATCGGGTGAAAGACGCGCAGGTACAGGTACGGCTACCATCCCCGTCTTCGTCGCTGGTCAACGACAATGGCGACGCCGATGCCGATCGTGCTGATTGCAGCATATCCACCGACTGGCGGAAACTCCTCGTAGGCGACTATGAGATTAGCTCGCCGCAGGAATGGGAGCACCTGGTCCGCGTGCTCATCTTCCTCCAGTTACGGGCAGTGATGGAACTGTTGGCGGATGTGAACAGCACCGGGGGCGAAGTTCTGGGGGAGACGCTGAGCGCGAGCCTCGCGCAGGCGGAGATACGGCTCGGCGAGCTGGAGAAGGACATACTAATTCTATAGACCAAGTGCTTTCACGCTGATAGAACTAGGTAGTTTGGCTGCGCCACTACCGTGCCAGTGCCAGGAGCAGAGGATCCTACGAGTGAGCTTTATTATCCGAGAAAGCATCATGTTGCCTACTCCTCGGCCTCTGGCTTTCTTCACTCCGAGTTTTGGCTGACTGAAGTTGTTTTCGGTTTTGATAAGCTTCCCCCTATCATCAGCCATCTCCTGGTGGTTCACGTCAGCCACTGCATACTTCCCGTCAGTCGTACCCCTTGACACTTCACAATGAGGCAAATCATCTCTTTCATCTGTTTGGCACGTTTAGTGAAAGATCAAGATCCTTATTTTTGCCTACTGTGCTGCATATAGTCTGGACAGCTGCACAGTCGGGTTTGAGCTTTTTTTGGGGCTAGAACATCAACGTGCAAGTACCTCTCCTCATCCTTAGGGATCCGCAGTCCACGCCCACTTTGTTGCTAACCTCATTTCAGTTGCCAACGTGCAGCTGGCTATCGGATAGTTCATCTCTCCGAACATTGTAGTCTACTTTTCCGGTTCATTTCCTCTTTCTGCGTCAAGTGTTCATCGCAATAAGGAATTTTACACTCGCAGGCCAGCTGCCAGCGGTCGAAGTAAAAATGGTAAACCTTCACGCCGTCCAAGCCCACAATGCGGCTCTGACATCCCTGGCCTCAGGTCTCGTCGCGGTGTTTGGTAAGTTCAATCTGCTCCAACATTCCACACTCTACGATGAAACAATCACTAACACCCTCCCAGTTGGCGGTACCTCTGGTATCGCCCTCTCCACGGCCCTCGCCCTCAGCCGTCACACCGCATCGCCCAAAATCTACCTCATCGGCCGTAGCCAGTCCGCTGCCGATGCTGCCATAGCGTCCATGAAAAGCATCAACCCCTCCGCCCAGCCAACCTTTCTGCAAGCCGACATATCCCTTCTCAAAAATGTCGACAGCGTGTGCGCCGAGATCGCAGAAAGAGAAAAATCAATTAACCTGCTTTTCATGACACCCGGATATTTGACGCTGAAAGGCCGGGACGAGACCGCCGAAGGCCTGGACCGAAAATTCGTGCTGCATTACTACGCGCGGATGCGATTCATCACCAACTTGCTTCCTCTTTTGAGCGCAGCCGCTGAAGGCCCCTCTGTCGACGCCAGCGCCAAACTATCCCGCGTAGTCTCCGTCCTAGACCCAATAGTCTCCGTCCGCGCCGGCGGCGCTGGCACGCTCGACTTCTCTGACCTTAGTCTGAAGCACACCTTTAACCTGAAAAAATGCAGTTGGCATGCCAGTCTGATGAGTGATTTTTTCCTGGAAAACACGGCGCAGCGTTACCCGCATACCTCCTTTGTCCATGCGTACCCCTCTGGAGTGGCTACGGGCGTGATGCGTGAACTGCCAGCTGGACGAGTACTGTCGGCTGTACTGACGCCCCTATTGAGGCCATTTATGGTCCCGCTCGATGAGAGTGGGGAGAGGCATTTGTTCGCGGCGACGAGTGGGAGGTATCCTCCGAAAGCTGAGGGAGAGGGGAAGGAAGGGGATATCGCTGTTGGCAGCGATGGGACGAAGGGGAGTGGTTGCTACTGGCTGAACTGGGACGGTGAGGTGTTTCCGCCAAACAAGAAGATAGAGAGGACGAGGGGACAGGGCGCGGTGGAGAAGGTGGTGCAACACACAGAGGAGGTTTTCAAGCAGGTGTGCGAAGAGGGCAAGACGTACCCATGAATGCCTAGAGAGATTGCTCCACGTCGGTTCTTGGGGTGGACCTGGTTCCTGGGGTGATTCAGATTGCTAGTTCAGCTCATTTGGCAAGCGACACGGATGATATCACCTCTGGGCTACGGCCGCGGACTTGTGGTGGCCTTGCCGGTCTAGTTTGCTAATGGTATATAATGTTTAATTCCTTTTTCAAGTCCTCGGCGCGCATTAGAGGCTTATCGTATCCTCTGGAGACAATTGTGCTGCTTGGCTTAACAACCAGGGGTGTTAGCTGTCAGGAAATATGGCACAACGACAAAGTGACACCAGGGTCAAAGTCACTCCTCATGACGCATCCAGCAGTTGATCCGTTTCAGATCTTACTGGAAGGACCCCTTCCGTATACCTAGCAAGTATCCTTCAGAAAGGGTCCAAACAAGCTCTTGCGCTTGATGCGTGCAGGCTTTTTGCCAACCATCGACGTAGAAGATTGAGAGCCTGTAGGCACTTGATTAGAAAAGACAGATGTGCTTTCTTTTCTCGAGGACCATCGCAAAGATGAAAACGGAATCTATGTGGCTGAAACGTTAGGAAAGCCATCCACCAGGTTGGAGTGTGCTGGTGTGGGTACGAGAGCCAGAGTGAGTGGCGGGAAGTCAGCCAACAAAAGCTCAACCGCGACCAGCTTTGCAGGCTGTCATCTAGAGAGGTTGTTTAGCAAATTATTAGTAAAGAGCCGAGCGTCTTCGTCACTTGAATTCTTGTCCATTGACTGAGAGCGTTTACCGATAAGTTGTTTTGCTTTCTTATGGTTGACTCCTCTTCAGGTAGTCTCCACTGGGTAAATATATATATCTGCCAGGCCGCCCACGTGCCGTACGAGAGGTCATGTACTAAGGCCGACTGATGTAAATGCCAATAGGTAATCTTGAGATTCTAAGCAATACAGTGTCTGTCTCCAAATGAGGAGCATTTTAGGGTTATCAATAGTCAATCTCMGAGACCACGAACATGTTCGTTGAAGGAGTCGAGCGTGTTTCAGGACGAGTCCTAGACCCATGGACCGTACCCAAGACTCAGGTAGTGTCTGATGATCTGCACTACTGTTTTATCACTGGTTGGCTGAAGGGAAAGTGCACACCGAGGATGGAGTAAAGAGGCGACCACCTTAATATCATTGTTAGAAGAGGTATTGACACTGCTGATAGTGATGTATCCATTTTACAAGATATAGGTGCCATCGGATCTGGTTCAGGGGCCGATGCTGCGCCGTGGTTGGAGCAAACTCTTTTTCTTTTTTATCCGCTGGTGAGATGACGAGTAACAAAACCAGAGAGTTCAGATCCATCATACAGGACTATCGCAGATGTGGATTAGCAGAACGTGCGATAGAGATGCATGGCTTGATCGTGTCAATCTCGATCAAGGGAGAATATAAAGGCTGGGGTAGGGGTAGCTGGACTCGATCGTCGTTCGTGAGACTCGGGATACTGAAAGCATCAGCATAAATAAGTCCGATAGTTGCAATTCAGCATAGACAGTTATATCTACTGAATGAAAATAGGCTTCATATTCCGAAGAATCCAGCCTCCAGACTAGCAGATAGTTTAGTAGTAGTAGGTTTGTGTGTTCAGGCCATCCAGTGTGACGATCAGTAAATTTCCTGCCTGGGTGCCTGGAACTTTGAAGTCGGGACCCTTTTTCGTAGCTTCAATCTTCCATTGTGATCGCTTCTCTACTAACCTTTCTCCCTTTCGCCTTCTCACTCTCTCTTATATCTATTATTGAACTCTTTCTGCCTGTTCCTGCCATTCTCTCAATTGGTAAGCACCCCGCCATCTCCTTCAATTCTCCCTTTCCCCCCTTCGAACGGCGATTTTCTCCACATTTCTCTGGCAAGGGGAACTTTCTGGTTCTCCACAGCGCAATAATTAATGCATCCACCGCTATCAAGGGGGGTCAAGGCGGAGAAATTTAAACTCAAAGGAGAGGGGAAAAGGAAAAGAAGAAAGCAGACTGACGTTTTGCTATCTCAATGCTGATACTGAATTTGTTTACAATTCTAGGTTTCCTGTTGCACTATCGTCTCCAGCCATCGAGATCATGATCCGCTGTCACCGACGCTCTTTTCTGATTTAACGACGCACATTGACATCTTCCGTTACCTGATGTCCCTCCAGTCCTCAGATTGGCAAATCAACTCTCCTTAAAATCTCATACGTCTCTACTAAAGCCGTGTCGATCACACACAAATTCTGGTATCTAGTGTTCGCTTCGAGGAATCGCACATTCCACGCCTCACTAACCGTCCATACATATCCCTAGAAGCAAACACTCGCATGTAGCAGCCCCTCATTCCTTCGATCGGCAAGATATCACACTCTCAGATTCCGGTCCGTTGCTCGTTCCCATCGATTGGCGCACTGCCCCTCATTTCTCGACGGCCGTTGAAGACCACTGCGGGGCTTGCCCTGTGTCGCTCGTTTTATAGCAGATATGCCCTGGCGGCCTCTGCCTCGGATTGCCTTCGCCGTTGCCATATATCCTTTCCAGCCGTCGACAGCGGCCGATCTGCCGCTAGAGCTTGGCGATGAACTATACATAATCGAGCAGGGCGGCGTCAATGGAGAATGGTGTCGCGGGTACCTGGTCGCTCCGCCATCGATCTTGGCGGGTCTGACAAGCACCAAGGGTCAAACTCTCGAAGCCAGGGTGTTCTCCGGCATCTTTCCTCGAAATTGTGTTGAGATTCGGGAAGTGCTCGGCGACGGCGACGGGCAGAAAGCGCTGACGAATGGCGATCGATTGAGTGTCGACCGAGGAGCAGATGATCCGGTGTTAGACGCCAGAAGCAGCGTCGCATACTCGCAAGATGATGAGAATTTGGCCGGTGAGGTATCGGATGTCATCATTGCCAAGAAGCTCAAACCCTCGCAGATCTTTATCCAGAGACTCGAGGACGGTCAAGCAAGTCCGGCCTCCATCAACCACATCATCCAGACACCCTCGCTTCCTCATACGCCGGTGACGCCAGTGACCCTGACCCCTCGCGATCCGAATGCGCCCAAGCCAGCGGCCCCGGTTCCAATGCTCAAGATCGGTGACGAGACCCCTACCTCGTTGTCGGAGCCGCTGGTCGACGAGATCGCATCATGTTTGCGCGAATGGCATTCGACGAATCTCCATGAATTATTATTGGCGCGTCAATATGACGTGGTGGAAGAGATGTACAACCTGGTCCGAGAACTGGACTTCGCGCGGAGGCAGCTGTTGCACGATGTGTTGACTGCATATGAG